AGGTCCGCCCCTTCTGCCCGAGGCCCCATCTCTTCCAGGAGTGTGGACCCACCCCCTCCTACTCTGTCCAGAGGCCCAACAGGTCTGTTGGTTCCCGATTGTGAGGAAAATTTGTCTATTCTCTTCCTGGTCATACCTACTTTGGACTGCCTGTCCCACCTCATTGAATGCTAAGTTCAACTGTTCCTTGAATGTTAACAAGAGATGCAGAAACAAGGGGGCAAGGCGTTCTTTAGAGAAGAACTCAAGAGCATCTTCTACACTCTGCAGTGAAATTATAGGTGTGAATACATTTGAAAAACTGATTTAGGTGACCCCAGAAACAGCTGATATAGCAGTGCCTGAAAATCCTCTATTTGTTTTTCCTTGCGCCCTCTAGATGAAGGTCCCTGCAAGCAGAAGTGGCAGAAATAGCGAGGAAGACAGCATCAGGGAGGCCACCAGCTCTCAGCGGAGCAGCTCGAGGGATTGTCTCAGTGATGTAAGTACCAGAATCAAGCGCTGCTTTGTTACAGCAATTCCCCCTGCTGACATAGCTTTTCATAAATCTTGCTGAACAAATGTTGGCATCCAGAGGTCACTGTGTAATAACATTTTTTATGTGATGATTGAATGTTATAGCATAAGTGGTTGAGTTGTCTTGCAAACACTATAATCACAGTGAGCATAATATGATAAGTGAAAGATCAGAGATGGGAAAACAAAATGGAATTGTTATTCCTGAGGGAAAGATGGCTTGACATTTTTTTTCAGAAAAAAAGTTGTATAAAAAGCTTTTTACAGTTGCTTTTGTTTTTAGCTTCTACATAGAATTATGGTGGATACAAACCTGTCTCACCTATTGTTATGCTTCCTGCCTCAGAGATGAGGAACATTTTTTGAGTGGTGGTGGAGAGCTGCCTTTCTCTCAGAAAACTCAACTCTACTTTGAGTAAAATGTTATGATAAAACAAAAGTAAATAGTGCCTTCGTGTGTAAACACACAAATGGGCTTTTGAGTCACCAAGAAATCAATGGCAGTGCTGTGATAATTTTATATGAAGGCTTTTTGTGTTAGCAATTAGCATTTTGCCTTCATTAAAACACGATTTTTTACTAATTAGGACCTTTCCCGTTAGGAGAGATTTAAATGAGGAACAATAATCAAATACTGGCACAAGCATGTCTGAAGTATTAAAGCCACAGAAATCCCAGAGTGAGCGGTTTTCATGTTGAGTTCTATTAATGTAAAATATGCTTCATAACTAAAAGCTGTCAGAGAAAACGGCTCACACCAGCCAAATTCAATTGGACAGTTAATTTAGCTTTAAAATTGAAAACATTACCTCTGCTTCAAGATGCAAAAGGAAGGGGGGAGCCTTTGATAAGCGTAATGTTTTTGCCATTAAGGCTTTCAGAGCCCATTCTACAGGAGAGAAGAGGGGGAAAAAGCAAGGGGAAAATGGCTTCCCCAA